AAGTGGAAAAGTTTAGTTGTGCGCAAGACATTTGCCCTCGCTGTCCTAAAAGACTGAGAAATGGGAAAGACAGGTGATACCTTTAGGGCATGGTTTACCTTAGGCTGCAACGGTATCTACGATGCAGTGGCAGTTTGTCCATCCAACTCGATGTAGCCCACCAATATCAGCGGAAGCAGCGGCGACTTGCGACTTACTTATACCACATTGAAAGCACTACCCCCTACACACCTAGCATAATCGAATGGCTTCCTCGTGAATACTACAGATGCGGGTAGGCCCGGTAAATGAGCATAACCTCGTCCAAACTGCGGGCCACATACATGGTAGGCTGCCCCCTCTCTCTCACTCTGGGTCAGGCACCTGTGTGCAGTCCAGCCCGTGGTCGTCCTGACACTGTCTCTGTATCGGGCTCGGGTGAGTGAGGATGTAGATGCTGCGCAAGTCTAATATCGTTACAACTTTATTCCCTCGTCAGTACTTGTTACCACGTCCACCACGGAAGACATCGTCATCCGCCACGATTGAGGTGAAACTAGTTTCGCAGAAGGCCTGACCCGCTGGGATTTTGCGTCTGCGAGAGTTTTTATAGGTCTACAATAAGAAGGAGTTCTAGCCATCTGACTCACGTCACCGAGCGTCAAATTACTCCGACAGTTGCTAATTATTCAGGCTGAGACTGTGATAGATATCAGAATTAGTGAAACGATGCAAATAAATGTGTAAGTAAAGGCTTTCAAATTTATTGACCAGGACCCAGTTTCCTTTCTAAGAATCACATCTAAAGAGCTAACAGTGTCATCAAACACTGAATTCGCCACCAATTTACGAGAGCATCAATATGCTTGCAGGTTCTGACCAGCGCTCAGCGCATTAAAACGAAAACGCATTTGTGCAAAAAAAAACAGACAATGCGGAAGTGGACATGGAAGGCTCCAGTCACTGGCTGTGTCAAAAATTCGAATTATGGCTTTTCGAGAGAGGTGGCGATGATTCAGCAGGCGTTTGGCAGATTTGCTTAATGTAGTTGACCCGATTGTGAAAAAACTCGCGACCTATGCCAAACCCCCCTATCAATTAAGTGAGCCTAGAAGACATTCTGGTGGGAAATCATGTCTGGGCAGTCAGCTTGTGTTCCGTAACGAGGGATTCCATACGAGCAGTAGGTTAGGTGGGTGACATCGATCAAAGTGTGGTTAAATTCATGGCGTACGGTGAACCTCGTAGCTCAGTGGTAGAGCGTTGGCTGCACAAAAGTCTCTCCTGCTGTGGGGGTTCGACGCTCACCTAAGCCGCGAGTTTTTTTCACAATTGAGTCAACTGGATTATTCAGCAGTAAATAACGCTAAAAAAGGGCGGTATTGGCGACTGCAGTAGGATCAGGTGGGTCCTGCACGTCTGCACAACATCCTGTGCAACAATCTCGAAATCTTTCGAGTAGGCCATGATAGTTATATCAACTCACCTTTCTGGAATCTCACTCTTTTCTCGCTAGCTCCCAACTAAATAGGCCTATCTCAACAGTTGCAGTGACCGGTAACAGAAAGCAGTATCCTTACGCAGAGGAAGCAGAAGTTACTGCGTTTTGGTCCTTTCCATGATCTAAACAGGGAGTTTAACTGTCGAAGTTTACAACAGCGGTGAAGACTGCAAAACAGACAACAAATGAGCCCATGTGAAACAAAAGACAGGAGCAATGTCCCTTTAATGTGGCCTTACGGCACTCTCACCTACTTCAGATTAGAAATCCCCCTCCCCCTTTATTGGAGGCCGATCCATGCGGAATTATAGATCAGGCAATATTTGCTGCCGATAGAGAGGTTTTCAAACGCTGCTTTCAAGCCTATTTTCACGTGGGCTTGACTTTGATTTGCAGTAGAGATGTGAGGAATGTGAGGGGGGGTGATTTCAGGTAGATGTGCTGCGCCCCCTTCCAGGCATTAGTGCTGATCATAGCTCACAAGATGCGATCACTTCGAAAAGGGGCAGGCACTATAACCGACACGAGGAAATTCCATCCATCCGACCAAGTCTCGCGCGCGCTCACCATGTCAGGCGCAGTAATTTTCCAAGTTGGATGTAGTGCAAGGTCAAGAGTTGCCTGTATTTGTCTACACAAAAAAGCCTATGAAAAAAGGCTCAGGATGTGGCCCTGCCTTTGGACGATTTCTATGCCTCCATGCTTCAGTGAAATGACAACTCAGCCGTTCGCCGCGTACCCCACAGCAAAGTGAACGCAGAGAAGGTGACTTGAATATGAGTGCGTTTATAATGTCAGTAGCGGACGACAGTTCGACTATCGATTTCGATTATTTCCACCGTATTCTCTAAACAGGTCGGTGTAAGGACGGTGACTTGTGCGTGATTAAGTTTTCAATGATAGTAGACGTACAGAATATCTACCGCACTATCCCTCCCTCACCCACATGAAGCCGGTGTCAAGACAGAGTCGCGAAGACAGAGGGAAGTCGGACACAAGGCTGCCCCTCCTATGTGTGCTACTAAAAGTTTGCCCCGCGATCGGGAAATGAACCCGGGTCTTCCACGTGATAGGCGGGGATACTCATCAGTATGCTATCGCCTTCCCCCATCTATGATCTCTTCGACCTTTTTCTTTATATCGGGTACAGGTGTGGGAGTGGTGAGAGAGTGGGGTAAGTCTTTTGAGTATACTCTCACTATAATTCAGCTACAGTCATCGCGTTTGCCTTCAGTTTGCAGACGCTCGTGGTGGACATCGACGATCGAACTACATCTGTCGCACTCTCTTCTCCCTCACGGAGGCGGGACTGGACTTTGTAGCTGGCAGAGTAAGAAAGCCCGACTACACATGCAAAAGACTAGGGTTTCACACAAGCAAAGGCTCAGATCCCAACTGAGTGGGAGTGCCCAAAGAGACCACATTGAAGAGGAGCCATTGCGGCCTGACTCTCCTAGCTGAAAGGAAGACCGAGTCAGCCCGTCAGTTGGCAGTCTTTCGAGCTACGAGTTTTACCGTGTCGTAATAATTTAAAAGCGCAAAGGTTTGTATTTAGGTTGGATTCTAACCATGTCAACCTTATTTCATTGGGTTAGTATGAGCACAGAGTACTGCATAAGTCCGGCTTTAGCTTGTGGCATTAACGCTGAAATAAAGTGAACGCCATGGGACGCTAAACACGCAGTATATGGCGGAATTAAAAATAATTGGGCTAATTGACTGTGTAACTGTTCCAGAAAAGTTGTGGGCTATTTTGTCATTGATTAGTGCACAGGAATGCAGATTAGGGGTTTGGTTTTAATTGCAAGTGATGGTACAACGCAGGAGGCGAACCAATGACAAACTTCAAAGCATGTGGGTCTGATGAAAGATGTCGAAAACAAACATGCAGCTCGGGAATACCATCCAAAGGTCAGATGAAGTAAAGGTCAACACGCGCTGGAACGACGGGCAGAGCAGAATACGGAAAGGGTGAGGAAATATTTCTCGGCCGGAGTATCCAACCCGCATTTAGGTGAGCATTTTCTCCAGGCCAAAGCAGGGGAGAACGTCCCCAGGAATAAACAGGAACGGGAGACAAGTATACTAAAGTCCTGGTAGAATCTAACTAAATAAGAATATCAATATCTGGTATGGTGTATGCGTCTTCAAATTCAGACAGTCATTGACCGCAAGTGATTCTTGAGTACGTAATAAAATTCATAAGTAAATTAGGTATCTTGACACTGTGTCGATGTAGAAAAAAGGAAAACTCTTCACACGAAACATGCGTTGATCATTCTGCAGCAGTCGCCTGGTACGAACGCAGACGCCCTCGAACTAAAGTCGACAGTTTGGCATTCTAGCGAACATTCAGTATTTAGTTCAGCTGTAAGGCGCAGCTGGAATAATAATGGTCTTGTCAAAGTACGAATATTTATGTACCCACTCGCTACCCCCGTCCCCGTCCCGGCAATAGTTGTCAGCGCAGTCGGGCTTTATGGCGACAGCGGAGTGGCCAAGTCTCCCACCTCAAATGGATATTCGGGGAGATTCGGGATTATTAGGAGGTTTGGCAGATTTGCTCAATTTGAGTTGACCCAATTGTGAAAAAAATCGAGGCGTTCGGCGGGATTTGAACCCGCGTATCAGAGAAGGCCTTTATCGGCGGCCAACGCTCTAACCGCTAAGCTACATACGCTCCGCCTCGCGCCGTGAATTTAATCGAAATTGGGTCGATATTACCCGCCCAACTTTACTGCCCATATGGAATCCACCAATAGGGAACAGCAAGCTGACTGCCCAAGCAGAATTTCCTAAGCAGTCATCTAGAATCCACCGGAATGACTACTCGTCTGACTTAATTATTAGGAGGTTTGGCTTTTTTCCACTGGAAATAGTCAATAGGGTGCTGATCAGTCTACTGGTCCCGCGAGGCACAAGCTAGGGTAACGTAGGTATCTGTGTGAAAGGTATCTGTTCGTCAACTCTACAGTCCAGAATATGTTTTGGCGTATCAGCACTAGCTGAGTGCTAAAACAAACACAACCGACAAAGCAAGGTACACACCAGAGTAGTGTGACTCACCCGAGCTGCCACAATGCTGAGGCCAAGACTGTTGTCAATTTTGGGAACCAGTACACTGTAGACTCGCATATTCTCGTCCACCTCCTCCTCCTCATCATCTTCATC